GCAGCCAAAAAGCGATGAGCTCAGCTAAAGTGCCGGGACTCTCGGATAGATTTCTAATATGTCTTAGTCTCAACAGGCTGGAAACCAACGCTGCTCTTTTGTGGTCTCTGCCTCTGGGGAGTCCACAAGCTGTAAATCTAACGGACAGCCAGCCGTGCAGCTTCCCGCCGCGCCACGTCTGAGGAAGAAGCCTTTTCTGCGGTGAGCGGGGAGAGGAGACTGACGGGAGCCAGAGAATGGAGGCGGCGGGCGGGGGGGGGCGCACTTTCAGGCGCACTTCACAGACGCACAAAAACAAGGGAGCAGGACGGAAGGCGGTTGAAAAAAAGGCAAGGGAAGCCAGGAACAGAAGCGCGCCCCCCTCAGGATCGGTTGGTCGTTCCGAAGCTCGGCCTCGCCCGCCCGTTAATCCCTGCTACTGATCACGGCCGCGCGCGCGCGCAGTCCAGCTGCTCTCGGGCGCTGGGCGGGGAGAGCCGCGCGCGCTGGTTAATTCTGCCAATCACGTGTCTCGGCCGCCTATAGCGTGGCCAAGCCCCTCCCTACCCGCCCACTGGCGGAGGCGCGCGCGCAGACCCGCCGCTCTCAGTCGCTGAGTGAAAGCGGCGCCTCACGCGTCAGTCATTCTGGCCGATTGCGCGTCTTTTCCGCCTCTCGCATTGCCCCGCCCTGCTACAGGATCGATTTACGGCCGCTGCTGCGCGCGGTTTTTGCTCTCGCTGGGGATGGCAGAGCGAGGTATCCTTCTGAAGGGAATGGGGCTACCTGAGACCTGGGCTCCCTCGGGAGTCTGCTGTGCAGTCGAGTTGAGCTCCTTTTCCGGGTCGGGGGAACTGAACCTAACCTGATGCCTGGAGTCTCCGGGGATCTAGTGGGCTTTCTGCAGTGGGGGGGGAAGGAGGGACTCCCGCCTCTGGTTTGCCCCGCAAAAGTTTATGCCTCTGTCGGAGGAAGTAATTCCAGTGCACTCTCCTTTTCAGTGCCTATTCCCTGCTTAAACTAAAAGGCTGCAGATGGGCGTAAAGGCATCTCCGTTGTGTTTTTATTGCCTCGGGCCGGCAGAGTACGGGTTTTAGTCACAGCTTGTAGAATTCAGGTCCTATTGTTTTTGAGTCAAGGTTTTGGCTATATCTCCTTGAATTGTGAAGCTGTTATAATAAAGAATTCCTGATTTTCTAAAACTGTTATTTTCCCCTCCTCCCAAGGCAGAATTTGATTATTTTTTGGTAGATGAAAAGAAAACAAGGAGAGTCGTGACTATGAGATCCTAGCTGGTTGATGTGTCATGAAAAAATTAGTAGTCCCTATGTGGGAAGGTAAATGGGAAACTGCAAAAAGAACAAGAATGAATTATAAAGTGAAATTTGAAGAAGTATCTTTCTTGCGAATGCTTTGTACACAAAATAGTCTGATAAAAATTGACTATAGAGAGGTGTGGTTTTGATTTTTCATTTTATAATTTTTCTTTTTTAGAGAAAAACCAAGATTTCATTTTCAAGATGGAAAGTCCATCAGACTCAGCTGCGGTTTTACCTAACACTCCTCAGGTCTCTGCAATTCCATCATCTCCCTATACAAGTAGTTCACAAAAACAAGTATGAAAATCTTTGTTCTTCCAGTGGATCCATTCTGTGTTTCTAGGTATTGTGGCAGTGGTGATTTAAATTCTACTAAAGATTAATTAACATAATGTGTAGCCTAAATAAGTAGACGTTTTATTAAATAATTTTATGTTTTTCTTCTAAGTTAACATATATGATACCCACTAGCCTCCCGCCATGTTTTCCTCTTGAATTAATTCATTTCAGTTAGTTTCAGATTAGGTTATTACAACATTCCAAATTGAGAAAGTTTGAATCTGTGCAGTATTATTATGAAGGTCTTTAGTGGCAGTGTCTAGGTCGTTTCCTTACTCTAATTCTGAAGCACCTGGATTACTGTCGGGCATGTGCTTGTTATTGAACAAATGCTTGATTACTGGGACAAACCTCTCAACACTTTTAGAAATGTGTTGATCTTGCTGAAGTAAAAAGAGAATAAAACAAATGGAGTTTCCAGAAATTAAAGACATTTTGTGATGCCTTCTTTAGATATGGAGACAGAAAGCCATCTAGTGGTGTCTAGCATAGAAATGTAAGGCCTTTATTTCTGGTAGATTTATTTACATCAAGAATGTTCTTCTTGATTAACATTTTTAACGTTTTATGCTCTTTACAGCCTATGAGTGCAACACTTAGAGAAAGATTAAGGAAATCAAGATCTTCATTTAATTCCTGTTACAATGTGGTGAAACGTCTTAAAGTAGAGAATGAAGAAAATGATCAGACCTTTTCAGGGAAACCAGCATCTTCCACAGAGGAAAACTGTTTGGAATTTCAAGAAAGTTTTAAATACATAGACAGTGAATTTGAAGAAAATACTTTGAAGAATCTCAGTGTCTGTGAATCTCAGTCGCTTAATTCTGGGTCATGCAGTGCTCTCCAAAATGAGTTTGTGAATGAGAATCTTCCCAAACAAAGATTAAGCGATGAAAAAGCCAAATTGGTGAAGCAGGTTCAGGAAAAAGAAGACCTTCTTCGGAGGCTAAAACTAGTCAAAATGTATAGATCAGAGAATGATCTATCTCAGTTACAGTTGTTAATAAAGAAGTGGAGAAGATGTAGCCAACTGTTGCTTTATGAGTTGCTGTCAGCTGTGTCTGAAGAGAACAAGAAACTAAGCCTTACTCAATTGATAGACCACTATGGGTTAGATGATAAATTGCTACACTATAACAGAAGTGAAGAAGAATTTATAGATGTTTAATTCTTGATATTTGCTCCAGAATATCTTTGATAATGACAACTTAATTAAAAGATAATTATGCATTTTAAAAGGAAGATAGAAACCATTAGGGCTCAGAGGAAGGTATTCCGATACACATCAATTAAGGGCACTCTAATATATAAATTATAAACTAATTTCTAAAAGGAAAATTAGTATTTTGGATAGATTGCCAAAGAAAAATTGACATTTATATCATGTTTAAAAAGTTATTTGGGCAGTTCCGGAAACTATAGTTTTAATACATTTGTTTTTTTGTGGCAAAAAGTTTTATTTTAAATGTCAAAAATTGTCTGGTCTGGTGAATGTCTAAAGTTTAAAAATTTCTGCCTCTCTCCTAAGTTTATGCACCTTGTTTCCATCCATTTACCACATATTTTCATCTAAAAATCTAGCAGGTCATTAAACTCATATGTCCAAAACTGTATTCTTCCCTGTCTCTTCCAATTTGTTTCTCATATTTTTCATTTAGTGAAACAACCATCTATTTCTTATAAAACTACATTTCCTTATCTCCCACCCACATCAAGTTTTCATGGCATGTAAGATTCACATTTGTTTGCCTTTCTAGCTTCATCTGTGAAATAGATTAAACATAGACTTCTTATTTATAAACCCACCTCCACAGGATTAGGTTTCTGCTGCCAAGTTATACAATTGTACCTATCATTTTGGCCATATATGGATATAGGACCCAAGCTGGGCTGGTCCCTGAGAATTTGGAATTTAGCTCAGGAAAAGAAAGCCCATCTCTTTTTGTGACGAGCTGTTGTGTGTACACCTGGAAGGAGCAGAGCTGGCATGCTTAAGGGCAGTGGGTGTGCTTACGGAGAAAGGCAGAGGTGATAGGAGAGAACTTTGTGGATCAGAGGGTTCCTAGTTTTAGTTGCCAGTCATTCCTAGGGGCTTTCTGGATTTCTGCTTTTGGCTCCTTTTAAGTGTTAACACAGCTTCATTTAGCTTTTTCAAAAGCACTTCCCTACTCGTTTAGCATTCCTCTGAGCCCCCCTCAAGTACACCCCACTTTCAGCCCAGCCCCTCCCTATAATCTAACCAGTGTTAAATGTTAAGACCTGGGAATCCACAGAGAAATCTAGTGAAATTTGTGGCACTTACTACTGGCAAATGGAGTCTCCAGACAGCTCACTTAGGTGAAAATGAAGTTTGTGTCGCCAGAAAGATTGTAAAAAATCAAGTCTAGTACATCTATGGTTGACAAGCCAACAGGACAGAACTTCCAGCAATCCCATCTTAAGTTTAAAGTATTTGCACCCCCATCCTGGGGTCTGTCCCCACAAGTCTCATCTCAGGGATAATTTTAAATGACCCCAGATGTAGGAAATGTTACCCATGAGCACTTCCCTACTGAATAAGCCAAACTAACTACTTCAGGAGTCAGTCTAGTACAAAGGAGGGGAGTCATAAAAATGCTGGTCCTATTATTTCGCGTATCATCCCCATCCAGCACAGATCACTATGTGGGTATCAATTACATCTAAAGATTTTTTTTTTCTAAATAGAAGATTTTATAATAGCTCTCTTACTTTGTCTACATCAGTGTATATTGGATATGGTACTGAGGATTAAACTTAACGTTGAGTTCACAAATTGCAGAACAGTGAGATACTGACATCATTTGAAGATTGTTGTCCATGATCCCAACGATATAGCAGTCCACAGGCTATGGAAGGGCAAAGGAGTTTTCTGACCAGTTAGTCATCTCGTTACGTAATTATCAGCATCTACATGGGTAAAGTGATAAACTATTTCATGGAAATAAGAAAGTATTTTTCTGTTTGTTAAACCCTATTGGGTAGAGCACAAAATTGAATTCTATTACAACATGCAATAAATGTAGATTATGCTTCTAAAATATGTTGTAATGTACAAAGGATAGAAGGCTTGGAAAAAGCTAACAATTTATCTTGTTCTCATTGGTGAAGCAGGGAATAATCTATTCTCATAATTTTTTTCTGATTATGAAAGAAATGCTTACTGAAGAAAATGAAACAGAAAAGCATAAAGATAAAAATCCATAATTCTCATAACTTTTCTGACAGTTTTATAAAATTAGAAATGCTAGTGTGGCAAAGAATTTCTTTTTAAGGCTTTCTATACTATAACTATGAAAATATCTTTGATCCAACTCAGATTAAATGAGTAAAATAGATCTTGAATACTTTCTGATCTCGTCTTGTTTATTCTTGAATAAAAACAATTCATGGTATTTTACACATTTATTCATGCAGGACAAAAATTTGTATACAATTAAGGCTAAAACTAAGCATTTTTTTTTTTTAATCTAAAACATGCAACTAAGAGGACATGCTACTTCAATTTGCCAGTAAAAAAGGAAAGGAAATCATTTTGCCCAAATGAAATGATTTTTTAAATGATTGATTTGGCCTTGTGTTTTCCTGCCAGTGTTTTTACATTTGAACAAGAGCAGGAAATGTTTTCATCCTTAATCTTTCAACTTCAGTCTGTAGTATTGAAATCTGTTCAGCTTGTTGTTTTGAAATATTTGTTAACTTCTGCTGTTGCATCATGTTTTCATACCGTTCTTTGGCAATCTTTTCACAAGTCAGTTTAGACCCTATCCCAAAAATGAAGAAAGGAATTAGATTATTTATCAATACTTTCAAATACAGAAGCAGCACTCAGAATCAGTTAAGCATGTAGAAGAAATGCTGGTAACAAAAAGGCATATGCACTTGTATGTTCATTGCAGCACTATCAATAGCAAAGACAAAGAATCACCCTAGGTATACCATCAACAGTGGACTGGATAAAGAAAATGTGGTACATATACACCATGGGACACAGCCATTAAAAAAAGAATGAAGTCATGTCGTTTGCAGCAGCATGAATGCAGCTAGAGGCCATTATCCTAAGCAAATTAATACAGAACAGAAAACCAAATACCACATGTTCTCACTTATAAATGGCAGCTAAACAGTGGATACTTATGGACATAAAGATGGCAACAGGAAACACTTGGAGGTCAGGAGTGGTGGCTAACGCCTGTAATCCCAGCACTTTGGATAGCTGAGGTGGACAGATCACTTGACCTCAGGAGTTCGAGACCAGCCTGGCCAATGTGGCAAAACCCACTCTCTACAAAAAATACAAAAATTAGTCAGGTGTGGTGGTGAGGTGCCTGTGGTCCCAGGTACTTGGGGGGCTGAGGTGGCAGGATCACATGAGTCAGGAGGTGGAGGTTGCACTGAGCTGAGATCATGCCACTGTACTCCAGCGTGGGCAACAGAGGGAGACCCTGTCTCAAAAAAACGAACAAAAAAAATCCCAAAACACTGGGGACTACTAGAAGGAGGAGGCAGGAAAGGCTGAAAAATTACCGGGTACCATGCTCAGTACTTGTGTAACAAGATCATTCCATACCCTAACCTCAGCATCACACACTATACCCAGGTAGGTAGTGGTTATCACGTTCGCCTCACACAATATACCCAAGTAACAAACTTGTATATGTACTCTGAATCTAAAATAAAAGTTGACATTATTTTAAACAATTTTTTGAAAAGACATGGTGGTAGCTTTTTAACTATTGTATAGATTTTAGGATTGATTACTTTTTTTTTGAGACACAGTCTCACTTTGTCACCCAGGCTGGAATGCAGTGGCACCATCTCGGCTCATTGTAACCTCCGCCTCCCAGATTCAAGTGATTCTCCTGCCTGTATCCCAAGTAGCTGGGACTACAGGTGCGTGCCACCATGCCCAGCTAATTTTTTTGTATTTTTGGTAGAGACAGGGTTTCACTGTGTTAGCCAGGATGGTCTTGATCTCCTGACCTCATGATCCACCAGCCTCAGCCTCCCCAAATTGCTGGGATTACAGGCATGAGCCACCACGCCTGGCCACTGATTACTTTTAAAGAAACCTACAGTTAAAGAAAAAAAAGATGCTTACCCATTGCATTACAGATGTCAGAGAAAAAAAAAAAACAAAAATAAAACATGGTTACCCATTGCATTATAGATGTCAGGAAAAAAAACAAAACATGCTTACCCATTGCATTACAGATGTCTTTTCTCTCTGAGACAGCTACCAACTCTTCTCGTAGATTGCAGCTTAGGTTATAATTTGCTATATCTTTTTGATTGCTGAACTTTCCAAGTTTTTTGAGTAGTTTCTTGCAGTTTTCCACATTCTTTTTGTGGGTCTGAAATTTTTGTTCCCATGATACCCCACAAAATTAATTTTGAAAAATGTAAGTTATCCTATAAAAACATTATTCTTATATTTTAAATACATTATCATCATTAAGATAACATCTTACAGCCATATCCATAGTGCCTGGCATAGTAGGGACTCAAGTTGTTTGTTGAAAGATAGAATGGTATGTTAATACCGAATTTTTAGAAAAAACTTATAAATTCTTAAAATGAGAGAATATTTTAAAAGTTTGAGATTGCTTTGTTTCTATCTAATATATGCTACATAATAAAACTATGCATTTTTATTCAGTTATGATTAAATAAAATGTTTCCAATGCCGAGCAAAGACTACCAACACTCCTGTTACATAAATCCTAACCTAATGTGAAATAGAAAATCAATTTACACTCAGATAGGTCCCCAGGGGTTAATTCTAATATTAAAGGAAGTGCTTAATTCTATTTCATTAGGTATGACTGCAAAGACACTACTTAGGGACTTCTAATTACTTCATAAGTACTAGTAAATGACCAAGATTTTCTTAGGACCTAGGTAAATTCATGATTTGAAACACTGTTACTTTGCTCAAATAATTTACAACTGTTAGGATATAATAACCAATGTCTTTGAGACTTACCTTATCTAAAACAGCAATGGTTTGTTCCATTATTCCAATCTGAATACTAATCAGAGCCTCATAGTTTGGTTCATTTAGGAACTTTGAGATTAAAAAAAAAAAAAAGTAAGGATATTTTTTCTTTCTTTCAATAGGTAACTTTATAAAGATTGTTTTAGTTTTGAAAGTTACTGTTTTTCATAATAAGTATCTATGTAAGTTAAGATTGATTTGGCTTGGTCGGGTGCTGTGGCACATGCCTGTAATACCAGCACTTTGGGAGGCTGATGAGGGTGGATCACCTGAGGTCAGGAGTTTGAGACCAGCCTGACTAATAAGCCTCGTCTCTGCTAAAAAATAAAAATATTAGCCGGGTATGGTGGTGCATGCCTGTAATCCCAGCTACTCAGGAGGCTGAGGCAGGAGAATCGCTTGAACCCGGGAGGTGGAGGTTACAGTGAGCCAAGATCATACCATTGCACTCCAGCCTGGGCAAAAAGAGCAAAATGCCATTTCAAAAAAGAAAGATCGATTTGGCTTTTGTGCCATAATATTTCCTTGTATTTAGTCATCAATACATTCACGTACACTAATTGTTACATCAAAGCACAAATTATTACAAATGCCTAGTTTATTTTCTCATTCATTCATTCATTTATTCAACTCACCAAACATTTAATTGTTCTACTTGAGCATCACACTAACAAAGTCCTAGTTAAAGACACTGAGGGAGATACAAAGATAAATAACATGTCCTAGTCTTCATGGGAAAATGATAATATAGATGTGATTGGCTGCCAGAAGACATGTAGAATGTTGTGCTAATTCAAATGTGGTTTGTGATGAGATGGAATTTCTCCAGGCTTGGGAAATCAAGAAAGGTTTTATGAAGGAGTGGGTGGTATTTAAACTAGATCTTGAAAAGTAGATTTGGGATGTATAAAAAAGCAAACTAAGAAGAGAAGCTGCTAGGAGGTGAAAAGTATACAAAGGGGGCATGGCTTGGAATCCACAGAACTTAGATTAGTTTTTAGAAGTGATTGATGAAATTAGAAAAACAGAGGACATCATCCAGGGAGAGGTATGGAAAAAAACACAAACATAGCTAAGGCAAAAATCTTGAAGAACTGCTATATTGAAGTGTTAGAGGCAAAAGAGAATCCAGTGAAAGAGGCAGAGTGGTATGACATGTTGGAAGAAAAATTAATTTAGGGTGATGAAAACCAAAGGAATGGGAAATTAAGATGGTTAAATGCTACAGAGAATTGAAGGATGGTAATGACTGGGAAAAGGACCATTGGGTTTGACTGGAAATCCTTAGTGAGCTCTAAGTAAAATGATTCTACTGAATGGGTCATGAAGAAGTAGATGTAGAAAATGCAAACTTCTGAAAGAAAAATAACTCACAAATAAATTAGAAAACACTCCTGCTTAGAATATGCTTGATATCATAGAGGCCTCTTAATAATACTGGTTAAATGAATGAATACAATAATGAATAAAATTAAAACTATGAAGGGCAGTAGGGAGAACTTACCTTTTGACGATCTCTTGAAAAAAATAGCATCTGAATATCCCAAGCCTTCTGATTTAGATCTTCCCTTTCCATCTCCATTTTCTTATGTTCCCACTCAATCTGAAATATTCTTTTGTGTACTTCTTTACTTTCCATCATGCTTGCAATTTTCTTTTGTCCTTGAGTCTTTTTTAAAAAAGTACATTAGATATCCATGTAATATGATTCTACATATAGAACACAGAATATTTGAGGCTGACTGAAAGTTTTAGAAAACAGTTGGATCACAGAGATAATTCTATCTTCTTTTTAAGAAGCAGATCTTAAAAAATGGCTTCTTGGGCAAAATATCACTATAAAGCATGATAGTCACTAAACAGAAGAGATTATAAAATACATTTAAATGGCAATTTACAGGCCGGGCGCGGTGGCTCAAGCCTGTAATCCCAGCACTTTGGGAGGCCGAGGCGGGTGGATCACGAGGTCAAGAGATCAAGACCATCCTGGTCAACAGGGTGAAACCCCGTCTCTACTAAAACTACAAAAAATCAGCTGGGCATGGTGGCACGTGCCTGTAATCCCAGCTACTCAGGAGGCTGAGGCAGGAGAATTGCCTGAACCCAGGAGACGNGAACCCAGGAGGCGGAGGTTGCAGTGAGCTGAGATTGCGCCACTGCACTTCAGCCTGGAGACAGAGCGAGACTACAGATAAAGAAAAAAAAAAAAAAAAAAAAAAAAAAAACTTTTAAAAGAATCTCAGCTCTTATTTAATATGCAGTTAAACTTTTCTCTGTAGTTTCTAGCTTGCAGGAATTTAAGTATTAAATGTTAGATGAAAGTACGATGGGAACAGAAGGGAAAGCTGACAGTGAATTAGTAAAACTAAAAATGAGCTGTAGAGTACAATAAAAGTATTTTTAGTAATCATCTTGTGTCCCCCCCAAAATAATTAATGTGATTCAGCCATTTTATTTGAGAAAACAAATGTATATTAGGCCTTAGATTTCAACTCACATAGGTTGAATTAAATAGAACTTGGAAGGAGATAACCTTTATTATCTGAAAAATTCATATATATGCAATAGCTCATTTCCCCCCAACTATGTGGAATAAATGATGGGATAGAGTATCTCATTTGTTATCTTAAATTTTTAAAGTTTTTAAAAAATAAAATTATTGAATGTTGAAAAAATTTATTCATTCATTCCTTCATTTATACTTTTTTTAGAGACATGGTCTCTTGTTGCCCAGTGGTGCAGTCATAGCTTATTGCAGCCTTGAACTCCTGGGCTCAAGTGATCCTCTCGCCTCAGCCTCCCTAGTAGCTGGGGCTATAGGCGTGTGCCGTGACACCTGGCTAAAAAAAAAATTTTTTTTGTAGACATAGAGTCTTGCTATTTTGCACAGGCTAGTCTTGAACTCCTGGGCTCAAGCAGTCCTCCCACCTTGGCCTCCCAGAGTGCTGGATCACAGATGTGAGCCACCCACGCCCAGCCTAAAAAAAATACTTTGAACTTGAATGTTGTAATTTTAAAGAGCAGTTTTAGATCCACAGCAAAATTGAGTGGAAAGTACAGTATAGTGTCATTTTTTTTTTTAAGTATGGTTGTAATAGATATTTTTCCCTGTATTGTTGCTTCTTGACATAGTTTTGGCCTTATTTAATGATTTGATTTTTCCCTTATCATAAGGATATCTCAGAGCTTGAACCAACAAATGGCCCTAGAACTTGCGTGGCATTGTAACCATTCTACATATGACCATCCTACTTTTTCCTAGATAGAATTCCCATTCATCTCCATGTATGTTAGCCTTTAAACCTGCACATCCCACTAATTTAACAACTTTAAGTTGAACTAGCATGACTAGTTATTGACATACATACATGTTTTTTTTCTGTTTCAGAATGATCTATCTCAGTTACAGTTGTTAATAAAGAAGTGGAGAAGATGTAGCCAACTGTTGCTTTATGAGTTGCTGTCAGCTGTGTCTGAAGAGAACAAGAAACTAAGCCTTACTCAATTGATAGACCACTATGGGTTAGATGATAAATTGCTACACTATAACAGAAGTGAAGAAGAATTTATAGATGTTTAATTCTTGATATTTGCTCCAGAATATCTTTGATAATGACAACTTAATTAAAAGATAATTATGCATTTTAAAAGGAAGATAGAAACCATTAGGGCTCAGAGGAAGGTATTCCGATACACATCAATTAAGGGCACTCTAATATATAAATTATAAACTAATTTCTAAAAGGAAAATTAGTATTTTGGATAGATTGCCAAAGAAAAATTGACATTTATATCATGTTTAAAAAGTTATTTGGGCAGTTCCGGAAACTATAGTTTTAATACATTTGTTTTTTTGTGGCAAAAAGTTTTATTTTAAATGTCAAAAATTGTCTGGTCTGGTGAATGTCTAAAGTTTAAAAATTTCTGCCTCTCTCCTAAGTTTATGCACCTTGTTTCCATCCATTTACCACATATTTTCATCTAAAAATCTAGCAGGTCATTAAACTCATATGTCCAAAACTGTATTCTTCCCTGTCTCTTCCAATTTGTTTCTCATATTTTTCATTTAGTGAAACAACCATCTATTTCTTATAAAACTACATTTCCTTATCTCCCACCCACATCAAGTTTTCATGGCATGTAAGATTCACATTTGTTTGCCTTTCTAGCTTCATCTGTGAAATAGATTAAACATAGACTTCTTATTTATAAACCCACCTCCACAGGATTAGGTTTCTGCTGCCAAGTTATACAATTGTACCTATCATTTTGGCCATATATGGATATAGGACCCAAGCTGGGCTGGTCCCTGAGAATTTGGAATTTAGCTCAGGAAAAGAAAGCCCATCTCTTTTTGTGACGAGCTGTTGTGTGTACACCTGGAAGGAGCAGAGCTGGCATGCTTAAGGGCAGTGGGTGTGCTTACGGAGAAAGGCAGAGGTGATAGGAGAGAACTTTGTGGATCAGAGGGTTCCTAGTTTTAGTTGCCAGTCATTCCTAGGGGCTTTCTGGATTTCTGCTTTTGGCTCCTTTTAAGTGTTAACACAGCTTCATTTAGCTTTTTCAAAAGCACTTCCCTACTCGTTTAGCATTCCTCTGAGCCCCCCTCAAGTACACCCCACTTTCAGCCCAGCCCCTCCCTATAATCTAACCAGTGTTAAATGTTAAGACCTGGGAATCCACAGAGAAATCTAGTGAAATTTGTGGCACTTACTACTGGCAAATGGAGTCTCCAGACAGCTCACTTAGGTGAAAATGAAGTTTGTGTCGCCAGAAAGATTGTAAAAAATCAAGTCTAGTACATCTATGGTTGACAAGCCAACAGGACAGAACTTCCAGCAATCCCATCTTAAGTTTAAAGTATTTGCACCCCCATCCTGGGGTCTGTCCCCACAAGTCTCATCTCAGGGATAATTTTAAATGACCCCAGATGTAGGAAATGTTACCCATGAGCACTTCCCTACTGAATAAGCCAAACTAACTACTTCAGGAGTCAGTCTAGTACAAAGGAGGGGAGTCATAAAAATGCTGGTCCTATTATTTCGCGTATCATCCCCATCCAGCACAGATCACTATGTGGGTATCAATTACATCTAAAGATTTTTTTTTTCTAAATAGAAGATTTTATAATAGCTCTCTTACTTTGTCTACATCAGTGTATATTGGATATGGTACTGAGGATTAAACTTAACGTTGAGTTCACAAATTGCAGAACAGTGAGATACTGACATCATTTGAAGATTGTTGTCCATGATCCCAACGATATAGCAGTCCACAGGCTATGGAAGGGCAAAGGAGTTTTCTGACCAGTTAGTCATCTCGTTACGTAATTATCAGCATCTACATGGGTAAAGTGATAAACTATTTCATGGAAATAAGAAAGTATTTTTCTGTTTGTTAAACCCTATTGGGTAGAGCACAAAATTGAATTCTATTACAACATGCAATAAATGTAGATTATGCTTCTAAAATATGTTGTAATGTACAAAGGATAGAAGGCTTGGAAAAAGCTAACAATTTATCTTGTTCTCATTGGTGAAGCAGGGAATAATCTATTCTCATAATTTTTTTCTGATTATGAAAGAAATGCTTACTGAAGAAAATGAAACAGAAAAGCATAAAGATAAAAATCCATAATTCTCATAACTTTTCTGACAGTTTTATAAAATTAGAAATGCTAGTGTGGCAAAGAATTTCTTTTTAAGGCTTTCTATACTATAACTATGAAAATATCTTTGATCCAACTCAGATTAAATGAGTAAAATAGATCTTGAATACTTTCTGATCTCGTCTTGTTTATTCTTGAATAAAAACAATTCATGGTATTTTACACATTTATTCATGCAGGACAAAAATTTGTATACAATTAAGGCTAAAACTAAGCATTTTTTTTTTTTAATCTAAAACATGCAACTAAGAGGACATGCTACTTCAATTTGCCAGTAAAAAAGGAAAGGAAATCATTTTGCCCAAATGAAATGATTTTTTAAATGATTGATTTGGCCTTGTGTTTTCCTGCCAGTGTTTTTACATTTGAACAAGAGCAGGAAATGTTTTCATCCTTAATCTTTCAACTTCAGTCTGTAGTATTGAAATCTGTTCAGCTTGTTGTTTTGAAATATTTGTTAACTTCTGCTGTTGCATCATGTTTTCATACCGTTCTTTGGCAATCTTTTCACAAGTCAGTTTAGACCCTATCCCAAAAATGAAGAAAGGAATTAGATTATTTATCAATACTTTCAAATACAGAAGCAGCACTCAGAATCAGTTAAGCATGTAGAAGAAATGCTGGTAACAAAAAGGCATATGCACTTGTATGTTCATTGCAGCACTATCAATAGCAAAGACAAAGAATCACCCTAGGTATACCATCAACAGTGGACTGGATAAAGAAAATGTGGTACATATACACCATGGGACACAGCCATTAAAAAAAGAATGAAGTCATGTCGTTTGCAGCAGCATGAATGCAGCTAGAGGCCATTATCCTAAGCAAATTAATACAGAACAGAAAACCAAATACCACATGTTCTCACTTATAAATGGCAGCTAAACAGTGGATACTTATGGACATAAAGATGGCAACAGGAAACACTTGGAGGTCAGGAGTGGTGGCTAACGCCTGTAATCCCAGCACTTTGGATAGCTGAGGTGGACAGATCACTTGACCTCAGGAGTTCGAGACCAGCCTGGCCAATGTGGCAAAACCCACTCTCTACAAAAAATACAAAAATTAGTCAGGTGTGGTGGTGAGGTGCCTGTGGTCCCAGGTACTTGGGGGGCTGAGGTGGCAGGATCACATGAGTCAGGAGGTGGAGGTTGCACTGAGCTGAGATCATGCCACTGTACTCCAGCGTGGGCAACAGAGGGAGACCCTGTCTCAAAAAAACGAACAAAAAAAATCCCAAAACACTGGGGACTACTAGAAGGAGGAGGCAGGAAAGGCTGAAAAATTACCGGGTACCATGCTCAGTACTTGTGTAACAAGATCATTCCATACCCTAACCTCAGCATCACACACTATACCCAGGTAGGTAGTGGTTATCACGTTCGCCTCACACAATATACCCAAGTAACAAACTTGTATATGTACTCTGAATCTAAAATAAAAGTTGACATTATTTTAAACAATTTTTTGAAAAGACATGGTGGTAGCTTTTTAACTATTGTATAGATTTTAGGATTGATTACTTTTTTTTTGAGACACAGTCTCACTTTGTCACCCAGGCTGGAATGCAGTGGCACCATCTCGGCTCATTGTAACCTCCGCCTCCCAGATTCAAGTGATTCTCCTGCCTGTATCCCAAGTAGCTGGGACTACAGGTGCGTGCCACCATGCCCAGCTAATTTTTTTGTATTTTTGGTAGAGACAGGGTTTCACTGTGTTAGCCAGGATGGTCTTGATCTCCTGACCTCATGATCCACCAGCCTCAGCCTCCCCAAATTGCTGGGATTACAGGCATGAGCCACCACGCCTGGCCACTGATTACTTTTAAAGAAACCTACAGTTAAAGAAAAAAAAGATGCTTACCCATTGCATTACAGATGTCAGAGAAAAAAAAAAAACAAAAATAAAACATGGTTACCCATTGCATTATAGATGTCAGGAAAAAAAACAAAACATGCTTACCCATTGCATTACAGATGTCTTTTCTCTCTGAGACAGCTACCAACTCTTCTCGTAGATTGCAGCTTAGGTTATAATTTGCTATATCTTTTTGATTGCTGAACTTTCCAAGTTTTTTGAGTAGTTTCTTGCAGTTTTCCACATTCTTTTTGTGGGTCTGAAATTTTTGTTCCCATGATACCCCACAAAATTAATTTTGAAAAATGTAAGTTATCCTATAAAAACATTATTCTTATATTTTAAATACATTATCATCATTAAGATAACATCTTACAGCCATATCCATAGTGCCTGGCATAGTAGGGACTCAAGTTGTTTGTTGAAAGATAGAATGGTATGTTAATACCGAATTTTTAGAAAAAACTTATAAATTCTTAAAATGAGAGAATATTTTAAAAGTTTGAGATTGCTTTGTTTCTATCTAATATATGCTACATAATAAAACTATGCATTTTTATTCAGTTATGATTAAATAAAATGTTTCCAATGCCGAGCAAAGACTACCAACACTCCTGTTACATAAATCCTAACCTAATGTGAAATAGAAAATCAATTTACACTCAGATAGGTCCCCAGGGGTTAATTCTAATATTAAAGGAAGTGCTTAATTCTATTTCATTAGGTATGACTGCAAAGACACTACTTAGGGACTTCTAATTACTTCATAAGTACTAGTAAATGACCAAGATTTTCTTAGGACCTAGGTAAATTCATGATTTGAAACACTGTTACTTTGCTCAAATAATTTACAACTGTTAGGATATAATAACCAATGTCTTTGAGACTTACCTTATCTAAAACAGCAATGGTTTGTTCCATTATTCCAATCTGAATACTAATCAGAGCCTCATAGTTTGGTTCATTTAGGAACTTTGAGATTAAAAAAAAAAAAAAGTAAGGATATTTTTTCTTTCTTTCAATAGGTAACTTTATAAAGATTGTTTTAGTTTTGAAAGTTACTGTTTTTCATAATAAGTATCTATGTAAGTTAAGATTGATTTGGCTTGGTCGGGTGCTGTGGCACATGCCTGTAATACCAGCACTTTGGGAGGCTGATGAGGGTGGATCACCTGAGGTCAGGAGTTTGAGACCAGCCTGACTAATAAGCCTCGTCTCTGCTAAAAAATAAAAATATTAGCCGGGTATGGTGGTGCATGCCTGTAATCCCAGCTACTCAGGAGGCTGAGGCAGGAGAATCGCTTGAACCCGGGAGGTGGAGGTTACAGTGAGCCAAGATCATACCATTGCACTCCAGCCTGGGCAAAAAGAGCAAAATGCCATTTCAAAAAAGAAAGATCGATTTGGCTTTTGTGCCATAATATTTCCTTGTATTTAGTCATCAATACATTCACGTACACTAATTGTTACATCAAAGCACAAATTATTACAAATGCCTAGTTTATTTTCTCATTCATTCATTCATTTATTCAACTCACCAAACATTTAATTGTTCTACTTGAGCATCACACTAACAAAGTCCTAGTTAAAGACACTGAGGGAGATACAAAGATAAATAACATGTCCTAGTCTTCATGGGAAAATGATAATATAGATGTGATTGGCTGCCAGAAGACATGTAGAATGTTGTGCTAATTCAAATGTGGTTTGTGATGAGATGGAATTTCTCCAGGCTTGGGAAATCAAGAAAGGTTTTATGAAGGAGTGGGTGGTATTTAAACTAGATCTTGAAAAGTAGATTTGGGATGTATAAAAAAGCAAACTAAGAAGAGAAGCTGCTAGGAGGTGAAAAGTATACAAAGGGGGCATGGCTTGGAATCCACAGAACTTAGATTAGTTTTTAGAAGTGATTGATGAAATTAGAAAAACAGAGGACATCATCCAGGGAGAGGTATGGAAAAAAACACAAACATAGCTAAGGCAAAAATCTTGAAGAACTGCTATATTGAAGTGTTAGAGGCAAAAGAGAATCCAGTGAAAGAGGCAGAGTGGTATGACATGTTGGAAGAAAAATTAATTTAGGGTGATGAAAACCAAAGGAATGGGAAATTAAGATGGTTAAATGCTACAGAGAATTGAAGGATGGTAATGACTGGGAAAAGGACCATTGGGTTTGACTGGAAATCCTTAGTGAGCTCTAAGTAAAATGATTCTACTGAATGGGTCATGAAGAAGTAGATGTAGAAAATGCAAACTTCTGAAAGAAAAATAACTCACAAATAAATTAGAAAACACTCCTGCTTAGAATATGCTTGATATCATAGAGGCCTCTTAATAATACTGGTTAAATGAATGAATACAATAATGAATAAAATTAAAACTATGAAGGGCAGTAGGGAGAACTTACCTTTTGACGATCTCTTGAAAAAAATAGCATCTGAATATCCCAAGCCTTCTGATTTAGATCTTCCCTTTCCATCTCCATTTTCTTATGTTCCCACTCAATCTGAAATATTCTTTTGTGTACTTCTTTACTTTCCATCATGCTTGCAATTTTCTTTTGTCCTTGAGTCTTTTTTAAAAAAGTACATTAGATATCCATGTAATATGATTCTACATATAGAACACAGAATATTTGAGGCTGACTGAAAGTTTTAGAAAACAGTTGGATCACAGAGATAATTCTATCTTCTTTTTAAGAAGCAGATCTTAAAAAATGGCTTCTTGGGCAAAATATCACTATAAAGCATGATAGTCACTAAACAGAAGAGATTATAAAATACATTTAAATGGCAATTTACAGGCCGGGCGCGGTGGCTCAAGCCTGTAATCCCAGCACTTTGGGAGGCCGAGGCGGGTGGATCACGAGGTCAAGAGATCAAGACCATCCTGGTCAACAGGGTGAAACCCCGTCTCTACTAAAACTACAAAAAATCAGCTGGGCATGGTGGCACGTGCCTGTAATCCCAGCTACTCAGGAGGCTGAGGCAGGAGAATTGCCTGAACCCAGGAGACG